TTTTATTTCTTTTGTTTGTTGCAAAACGTTTTATCTTTTTTCTATTACTTTTTTATATGGTAAATCGTAATAAATTTTCTACATTTAATAAATCCCTATTTATCATAAATTAAAATATATAATTTAGAAAAACAAACACTTTATTTTTTATTTTCTCAACTAAATATTTTTGGTTTTTTCAGATATACTTCACTCAATGCTCGTGTAACTTACAAAATTTCTGAGTAAGAGAAACAAATAAAATTGAGTTATCTAGAATTTAGTGCAATAAAATAATGAAAGAACCTCTATGAATGAGCCTCTCAGTGGACCAATCTGGAGACCAGTGGGTCCATTTGTACGACCCATAAAGCTTTTATTCAAATAAACCTAATTAAATAAATAGATATACCTAACTGATTTACCAGGATCAATAAGCAACTTGCTATTTTGCTTTTGGCTTTATTAGTATGACGTGTTACCTTTGGTTGATTATGGTGTTTTTATTATTTTTAGGTTTAATTTAACTTTTTTATTTTTTAGAACGGTTTCTTCAATTAAATTGACGTAAATACCGTGTTTCTATATATATCACGTTAATTCATAAAATTTCAAGCTTTTCCAAAAATTTTATTTAATTTTTTATAAAAAATATTAACTATTACGTGTCAGATTATGATCATGTTACATGATTACGTGTCAGTATTATTATATGTAACACAGTATATTCTGATACATGATCATTTGTGTTTTTAAATTAAAAAAATATTTAAAAATAAAATTAAAATATAAAAAATAAAAAATTTCATGATATTAACCCACTACTAAATCTTAACTATTAATATTCCGAAATTCTTGGCGTATCAGGCGATTGATTTTCCTGGAGGAAAAGTTGGATTTACTTCTGAAATGAGATTCATTTCTGAGACTGCTCAGAAAAGGGTGCCCTGTTATCGTGTTCTTGATGACAATGGTGAGCTCGTTAAATACAGCAACTATGTGCAGGTATCTCAGTTCACACCACCATTCTTAATCCAATTTAGTTTACATTTCGCATATGTGATGATTGAATAATGATAATTGAACAGGTTAGCAAGGAAATGGGTGTGAAGATGTATTCTCACATGGTCACTCTTCAAACAATGGACAGCATATTCTATGAAGTGCAGAGGCAAGGCAGAATTTCCTTCTATGTCACCCAAATGGGGGAAGAAGCAGTTAACATTGCATCCGCAGCTGCACTTGCTCCTGATGATATCGTATTGCCTCAGTACCGAGAACCTGGAGTTTTACTGTGGCGTGGTTTTACACTGCAACAATTTGTCCATCAGTGCTTTGGAAACACTTATGATTTGGGGAAAGGCAGACAGATGCCCATACATTATGGATCAAACAAGCACAATTACTTCACAGTCTCATCCCCCATTGCGTAAGATACAGTCCACAGTATGTTTGAATAATTGCAATTCATTAAATTGTCCATTCATTGGTGACATGATCTCTCAACAAGTTGATATTGTTTGGCAAGAATTTCAGAACACAACTTCCTCAAGCTGTGGGGGCTGCGTATTCTCTTAAAATGGATGGCAAAAGTGCATGCGCAGTCACTTTTTGTGGGGATGGTGGCACAAGTGAGGTTAGTGTGGTGACGAACCATATTAGCTAGTAACAAAATGGAACACCGCGTGCTTATTGTTATTACTTGACCACATCATTAATTGCAGGGAGATTTTCACGCTGCCATGAATTTTGCAGCAGTGATGGATGCCCCTGTTGTTTTCATCTGTCGTAACAACGGATGGGCCATCAGTACACCTGTACAAGAACAATTTCGAAGTATGTATACGATGAACTTTTCATTTTGATTTGTTTCAGATGGAAACTAATGTTTTTCCCTGTGTGGTTAGGTGATGGAATTGTAGTGAAAGGTAAAGCTTATGACATCTGGGGTATCAGAGTTGATGGAAATGATGCTCTAGCAGTTTATAGTGCAGTTCACACTGCTAGAGAAATCGCTATAAGAGAACAAAGACCTGTTTTAATTGAGGTATGTTGAGCTCCCTTCATGCTAAGATGATCATTGTTTGATACCACTCCCGTTTTTAGTGTCCACCAATCTCATGATAACTGCTATATAACCTTCAGGCTCTCACTTATAGAGTAGGACATCACTCTACATCAGATGATTCAACTAAGTACCGGGCAATTGATGAGATTGAATATTGGAAGATGACAAGAAATCCTGTGAGTAGATTCAAGAGATGGGTGGAAAGGAATGGTTGGTGGAGTGACAAGGATGAATTGGAGCTTAGAAGCAGTATTAGGAAACAGGTTGTTAATTTTATTTTTCATATTGAAATTTAGTCCAATTTGCTCTGGCCAACTTATTCTGACATTTTTTGTTTCTGGATTTATGCTACTATTGTACAGCTAATGCATGGGATTCAGGTGGCAGAGAAAGCACAAAAACCTCCACTCGAGGACATGTTCACTGATGTCTATGACCAAGTGCCATCAAACCTTCAGGAGCAAGAAAGATTACTAAGGAAATCCATCGAGAAGCATCCGAAGGACTACCCTTCCGATGTTCCTTTGTAGTATTGCCAATTCGAAACAAGGAATTGTATTCTAAATCTGACTGTCAAAATGTAAAATAAAGGGATGGAATGTTCTTTGTATGTTATGGTATATATCTTTTATTTTTTGCTCAAATATTATTTTAATTTATATTTTTGTCAGTTTTTGTTTACGTGAGATTCATTTTTTTTCTGATATAATTAACGTGAGATTATTTTTTTTTATGTAATTCTTATTTTGATATATTTTGTTAATTTAGTTTTTTTTGGTAATGTCATCTAAATATGTTTTTTGGTTAATGGACGAGATCATTGTCAAATATGTTTTTAATTTTAAAAAGAATTATTAATTTTTTTTTCTTAATTTAAAGGGATGGAATGTTCTTATGTTATGGTATATATCTTTTATTTTTTTCTTAAATATTATTTTTGTTTCTTCGTAGAATTTGTTTAATGCATGACGGTTGATGTGGTTTCTATTTTAATATATTTTGTTTAATTTGGTTTTTTTTAAAGGTTAAATATGTTTGTAGTCACGTTTGTGGTTTTCGTCCATATTTCAAAGTAAGGTATAATTTGGTCCTCATTCTTAATTTGGTTTTTTTTAACGGAGTTTAAAAGGGTAATGGATGATATACCATGTGTTAATTTGATATTTTTTTTTAATTTTTAAAATTATTATTATTTTTTTTATTATTATTTTTATTTTAAAAATATTATCTAAATGTCAAGTTAATATTGTGTCATGTAGCAATGTCATATGTCAAGTCAATGTCACGTGTTTCGTCAATATTAGTTTCAGTATATTGTATTTTATTCAGTTATAATTTTTGCTAATTTTCTTTAATTTAACTTCTATTTTTGGCTTTATGTATTGATATTTTTAAAAAAATTTGGAGTGAATATGTTGATAGTTTTTTAGTTTTTAATCATGTTTGGAGGGAGCTTGTTAAAGACTTTGGTTGGAAAATAATTCTTCTTTAGTACATTATGATTTTTGAATCTGGTTCTTTGGAGTTTTAGAAGAAAATGATGTTCAAGTTTCACATTTTTTTTTGTGTGAAGAAAAATCATTGTGTCAAGTTAATTTAACCTTCATTCACATAGAACAACATAAATGGTTTAATGTTTTAACTCTATACATTTTTTTTCATAATTATAATTTATATATGTATGGTGAAATAGTATGATTCTCATGTTTGTATTATTTTATTTTATTTTTTCTTATTATTAAATTTTGATGTGATAACAAATGATTAACATAAGATGTCAAAATTCATATTATTGACTAACATGACCTTATTTGAAAAATAAATTAGAAAAATATAAAAAAAATAAAAAATGTTAAATATTATTACTGTTATATTTTATTAATGAAAAATATTATCAAAAACATAAACTTGGTCTTTTTTATTGGGAAAATGATTCTTGTAAACTAAGTTTATCAACACTACTATACACCTAAAGAAAATAAAAAGATATATTTATAGAAAGGAAAAATATACGTGAACACCTCTTAATTTTCTTATTACTTTCTAACACTTATTAAAAAAATAATATTTATACTTTTTTAAGTTAATTCATCTTAAATTATTTTCTATTTTAAATAAAAGTATTATTTTATTGGTATTTGGAAGGGTGTTGAATAAGAAATGACTTAATTGATAATTTAGTTATTATATGATTTACTTTAATTCTTATATTTTTTTATTTAATTAAATTCAAATATATTTTAAATAAAATTAATATATTTTTTCAATTAAATAGATATTTTAAATTTTGATACGTGACAAATATACAATATTTCTATATTTATAGAATATACATGAAAAAAAGAGAAAGAAATTAAGAAAAAAACTAGTATACAATATATATACATAAAATCCAGGTAAAAGTCTATCATTGCTCTTTTAATTTGATTGATACTCCTTTATGCATGTTGGTTTTCTGAAAGAAACGAATGCTGATTGCGTCAACGCTGAGAAGAGAGGAATATGGAATAATAGTTTAAGCTGAGAAATAACATATTCAAATAGTTTATAAGTGAAGAAAGTGGAGAATCTAGAATCTTGAAAAGCATGTCCAAGCAAACAGTAACCAAAAACTGTCTTCAAGTTCCTCGTACTCTTCCCCATGTTGGCACTGTCCAAGGCGGCATAGCATCCTTCCATTCATCTCTCTCCCCGAATATGCTCAAGCATATTATCTTGGTATTGTCTCAACCTCCACAGCCAGAGAAAACATGACTGGTGGCGCTGCTTTGGACTGACAAGGCATGAGAATGCTTCTGTCTTGATTGGACGATCGTTTCTTCTATTCAACATATCACCATATTATGTGCTTTTCTGCATCACCACATTTCGTGTCAACAACGTTCAAGCTTTAACACCAATCATCACAAGACGTGCAGTGCTGCTAATTAGGGAATAGAATAATAATTTGAGTATGGAAAGCCCTCCTACTCCTTCTTACGTCGTGGTTGCATGTGATGCCACAAGGGACCGCACTGAAAACGAGATCAAACTCGTTGCTGATCATGTCCGGGCCAGGGGTTCCTTTCTCTCTCATGGTGACAAGCTGCTTGTGCTTTGTGTGTTGCACAAAGTGTCTCACCCCAGTAAGTGTTAATATTGCAGTTCTTTAATCTGTTTGAGAAAGAGAAATGAATCTACCAATGCGTTGAGAATATTATCTCTTCAATCATTTGTTGATCTGCATCAGTTTGTATGCATATAGATTGTTCCTTCAATTTTCTGATTGCTCATTGCATGACTTGTTTTCCTCCTTTTGGATTAATAGTGGGGTACCAGACATTAGCATGTCCCGAGTCATTTGCTGGAACCAACTTTCGTACAATGGAGGAAGAAGTCAAAAAGAAAGTTGATACGTATGCTAGTGAGCTTTTATCATGTTATGAAGATTTTGAAAGTGAAGGGGTACATTGTTTAAGTTCTAGAGAGCTTCCAAAGTACTCTTAACAAATGCATGCTATAACTCTGAAATTAGAACAATGCTCCCAACTACTAACTATAAGTTGATGTGCAGGCTACTATTGAAATTAAAGTCACGGCAGGATTTCCAATTAAACAAGTTGTTTTACAGGAGATTACAAACTATAATGCATCGTGGATAATACTTGACAGGTATTATTATCTCTCAGATTGTGAATAACCATTATCTCTTGCATTTGACTGATCGATGATTTCCATTAGTCGATGAGGATATTATCCAATAAATTTGTCCTCTATGGCAATAGGCGTAGCTAGTAGTGCATATGTTTGCATTTGAAACTTTGTTAAGAAAATCATCACTTTAATTAGTTTCCTGCTTATTTTCTTCTGATGGTTTTCAACTTTATTGGGTGAATTCCAACAGACATCTTCGGCGCGACCTGAGATAACACCTTAACAAGTTGCCATGTAAGGTTGCATTGGTTAAAGACGACTTGTCTCTGGAAATTTGGAAATCTCATAATACACATGACACAAAGATCACAGCAACAAAGTTTGTATTTTCTTTATCAAAGTTTGTGTCGCTATCAGATTGTCATTGTATCGAAGACATTGAGCACTCAATTGTCTCTTCCAAAAGCTATCCCCATTCTATAGTTGCTTCCGATACCAGTAGTATGATTAGGAGATATACGAAGCAGTCAAGTGTTAACAGGTCGCGCGATTACAGTTCCGTATCAGAATTTGGATCCTCTTCTAAGCAAGAAAGATCAGGTGATCAGGAAACCTGTTTAATTGTTTTTAAGCCTGTCTTACAAGTTTTAGGAATTACGCATGTAAGCTTTTCTTGCAATGATATGGAATCATTGTGTTTTTAAATGAGCATTTATCACTGGCTCTCTGGAAAATATCATCATAAAATTCTTTCTGAAAGTCTTTTTTTAAGCATGATTATCACTCCTCGTGGAATATTTTAATATGCTATTTGGTTGCCAGGGGTGGTGTGGAATGGAAAGACATAAGTTATTCACATTATCTCTATCCTAAAACTTAGAGTTATGAATTTACGGGTCTTTTTTTTATGATACTTAAGTTTCTCACTTTTACTTAACATCATACTTAGGCTCACAGTTAAATTTTTAGACAAATGTAGATTTCATTCTCTTGCTGAGAAGAAGATAGAATGATGAATAGTAAGTTAATTGCATCTCATACTCCTAAACTGGAGGGAGAAAATAAGAACTGTTTTTAATTGAGATTGTTTCAGCTTATATCAGATTAAATGTCAATGCAGTTTATGATTTCCTGTAAATTGGGAAGAAAGCTGCCTTTGTAATTAGTTGTGGACTAATCGTTCTTATTTTTGTAGCTTAAGTATGATTACCTTTTGTTTTGTTGAATAGAAACTTATTTGTTTATAACTAAGTTATTATTGGTACAGAGTATTTCACCAATTTGTTAATATAGAAGATTTGAACCTAAAACCTTATTTATGAGAACAGATTCCAATACCAAACTAATCAACTTGTTGGTTTTGTGTATTTAAGTTCGTTTTACCATTTTAAAACGCGTACAAAAGTTGAATATAGAAGAGATCGATGTTTTTGCAGGTTAACATCCATTGTTTTTCCTATCGCATTTTGTAATAAATAGGAGTTTTAACTTTGATGCAGGCATAAGCATTAAAGGAGAATATAGGTATCTCACCAGTTCTCAGATTGACCATAAGCCAAACCAAAGTGACTTTCTGCCAAAACATTCAGACGCACCGCTTCTTTGTACTGGCTGTGGGACAAGAACTGAGTTATCTATCTCAGACTCAATGAAGTTCAACTACTCTGACATACAACTTGCAACAAATGACTTTTCAAAGGACAACTTATTAGGTGAAGGTGGCTACGGTCACGTATACAAGGGCGTGCTTAAAGATGGACAGCAAATTGCGGCAAAGGTAAGGAAAGAAGAAAGTTCACAAGGATTTTCTGAATTTCATTCTGAGGTCTACGTCTTAAGTTTTGCGCGACACAAGAATATAGTGATGCTGTTGGGTTATTGTTGCAAAGAAAGGAAAAACATCCTCATTTATGAATATATTTGCAACAAGTCTCTCCATTGGCATTTATTTGGTAAGTTGGCTATAGTTTATTTACTCTCTGAGTCTCAATATACCCAATGAGGTTTAACTTTTATGAATACATTTCTGAAGAAAATAATGCAGCAGTTCTTGAGTGGCACCAGAGGTATGCTATTGCCATTGGGATTGCTAAGGGATTGCGTTTTCTACACGAGGAATGCCGTGGTGGTCCTATTATTCATCGGGACATGCGACCAAGCAATATACTTCTCACCCACGATATTGTTCCCATGGTAAGGTATCATATAACAATATAAGTTTCATGGATATACAGTGTATAAAATGTTTTGGTTTCACAACATTTACATAACTAGGAAATTCCATATCTTATCATTCTCTGAGAGGCTTCTTTTCTGTCTTCGCATTAAAGTGGCATGTTGACTATAAATGGTTTGATGGCAGCTGTGTGTGCTTTGAATTAAGTGGTGTGTTGATTATAAGTGCAGCTAGGTGACTTTGGCCTTGCTAAATGGAAGACTGATAATGAAACTCCTCAAACAAGGATAATGGGCACATTAGGGTGAGAATTTTTGTTTGCTATAACTACCTTAAATTCCGAACATAAAAACTAAAACAAACACCTTGTTTGTTACTGTAGATACCTTGCTCCTGAGTATGCTGAAGACGGTATTGTTTCTGAGGGAACAGATGTGTACTCTTATGGGATTATCCTGTTACAATTGATATCAGGACGCCAGGTGGGCAATTCCAACAATCCAGAACAACAACAATCTCTCCGACAATGGGTATCTTTGATTGTTTACCTCTTTAACCATTGAAAGAAACTTTACTTGTTGTTTGCAATATCTAGCAATATCAACATAAATCTGACTGACCTTGATAAATAATGTTACGTGTGCAAAACATTAGGCTGAGCCAATGATAGAGAAGTTGGCGTTACATGAACTGATTGACACTCGTCTATCGGAATCATATGACACCTATGAACTGTACCTCATGGCCAAAGCAGCATACTTCTGTGTGCAAAGGAAGCCTGAGATGCGTCCCTCAATGGGAGAGGTACCTAATTTAACCTAATTGCTTTCACCATTTTTTAATTGAGTTAAATATTTTTTAGTTTTGATGTAAAATTGAAATTGGTATCTCTTTTAACATTTATTTTATGAATTTGAGAACTAAAATTTATCTAATTAATTTGAAACAAATTCCATTTTCTTAATAAGTTTAACCTTTATTTTTATTTAGAACATGAACATGACAAGAGACGAAGGCTCTTTCTAATATCTTGCATATTTTGTGTAATCGGTGCAGATTATTACAATTAATGTTAGCTTTTTGTTCAGGTTGTGCGACTTCTCGAGGGAGAAAGTAGCCACTTCCACTCTTTGGAAGATCAATTTGTACCTAATTTTAACGGCTAAGCTTCATCTCTGCATACTATGTGTGTAGTCACTTTATTTTCTTTCTTTTTGTGTATTTAGCAGAAACTTCGGTTTGGTTTC